ATATTTTGTAGTATTTTCTTCGGAGTTTGTTTTCTTTCACATAAATCTCTCTCTCTCTCTCTCTATATATATATATAAAGGAGGGGAATGACAAGATGATGTGGCATCTCCCATAGTGTAGGAATCTTATTTATCTTTTTTCTTATTTTTTTGACTTTTTTATTTTATTTTAACCATTTATATTATTTTAAATTTAAATATCCATAGATATAACTCACATCTCTTGATTGAGGGTTGTGACTTTTCAAGTCTATAAACGTAATGACCCGACTGATCATTTTGAGCAATTGCGCCCGGTTCGGTAGTTTAAGGTAACGAGCAGCTTCATATTATGTGTATCGACTTGTGTGCGCAGTACGGTCGTGAAACCGGAAAGTTTTTATGTGAAAATATGAAAAATAGTAATTTCTAGAGTTAAAATTTGGTTTTTAGTTGACTTTGGTCAATATTTTTGGTAAATGGACCAGGATCTGTGTTCCGACGATCCGGGAGGTCTGCGGTAAAATATGAAACTTGAGCGTATGCCCGGAGTTGAATTCCGAGGTCCCTAGCATTAGAAAATAATTTTTGAAGAAAATTATTGTGCTGGTTTTTAAGGAAATAAAGAAATAAATTAATGTTTGAACTCGTTGGTATCGGGCCCGTATTTTTGTTCCGGATTCCGGTACAAATTTGTTATGATATTTAAGTCCTATCTGTGAAATTTGGTGAGAATCGGAATTGATTTGACGTGATTTGGACGTCCGGTTGAAAAGTTAGAAAATCATGAGTTTTGAGGTTAAATTCATAGTTTTTATTTTATTTTGATGATTTGATATTACGAGCAAGTCCCTATGATATTTTTAGACTTACGTGCATATTTGTTTTAGAGCTCCGAGAGCTTGGGTGAGTTTCGGATAGGTTTAGGCTATGTTGCGCTTGTTTTTGGATGATTCATCGTCATTTCTTCAAGAAAAAATGATACCACATTGTCACGACCCGAATTTTTCCGCCCTCGGGAGCCGTGATGGCGCCTACTAGTGAAAGCTAGGCAAGCCAACAACTGAACTATTTACCTTGTTTCCATTTTTAATCCGACAACAGTTAAGAGCCAACAATTAGATAACAACAGAATTGAATAAGCGGAAGGCTGCATTGTAAAGTTTTAAATAATGCTGCTAATACCAATCCATAACAAATCTACCCAAGACTGGTATCACAACTTCACAGACTGTCTAGGAGTACTACAAATAAAGGTCTGAAAGAAATAAATACAGCATTGTCTCTGGAAATACATGAAGGAAACAGGAATAGTAGATAGAAGGAGACGCCAAGGCCTGCGGACGCCTGCAGGACTACCTCGGGTCGCCTGATGAACAAGAAACAGCAAATCTCACCGCGGTCCGAAGTCCACAGCACTGGGATCTGTACAAAAGAGTACAGAGTGTAGTATCAGCACAACCGACCCCATGTGCTGGTAAGTGCCTAGCCTAACCTCGGCGAAGTAGTGACGAAGCTAGGAGCAGACTACCAAATAAACATGTGCAATATAGCGTACAAGAATAATAGGAAGCAGATAACAATGATGGCAACAATGATCATCCAGTGATAATAAAAACGCAGGCAAACAAAAACTACCAATAAATATTGCTACAACGAATAATGTATACAAGTGCAATCAATTAATCAAGTCCTTACAACTATAAATATCTTTACAAATATATTTTCTTACAAACAAGCATCTTTACANCATAATCATAAATAATATATATTTCCCCCGGCACCTTGTACCCACAGATTTCTGTTTCACATTGCGCAACAACGTTCTCAGGTTACTCAGTTCATAGGGTCCATAACCCAATACAATTTAAGAATGTTCACGGAGCCTCATTTACTTAATAAGAAGTATAGTACAACTTCTAAACCCATTTGAAACTCATCACGAAGAGATAAAGTTATTTTTAGAAATCATTTGAATAAACAAAGTACCATATTTCAATTAGAATACAACATCGAATGAATTATTACTTTTACCAAGGGATTTGATAAATTAACCTAGTAAAAATTCCTTCTTAAGTAAAGTACAATCGCAAACGGTTTAAGGAAAATTTAGTTGAGAAATCAATTGAGTTAAAAATGTAACAGTTGTTGAAATTTGAAGTATTGAATATATATAAAACAAATAGGGCGAGGTATTGTCAACACTATGAATTCTCACACAAAGGATCACAACCGTAAAGGAATCTAAACCATTAAAACACTTGAATTGATAACAACAATTACAACGGAGACAAAATAATCACGGAAGGAGTACATCTCAGCATAGAGATAACAACTGGGGATCTCCCAGGATACCGTCCTGTAGTCCCCAAATATAAATATGCAGGGGGATCTCCCGGGAATCTAACCCGTAGTCCTAAAGTAAATGTGCAGGGGGATCTCCCGGGAATCTAAAAACAAACAAGGGGGAGCTACCGCAATCACACATCCGTAGTCCCAAAATAAATACACAACGAACAAACAGAATTAACAGTTACATCACAACAGAAGGATCGAACATCATCACAATACATATAACAACAACAAATGACAATAATACAAGGTAAGACAAGTAAATAAACTCAGGGGCTGTAAATCATGAGAAAATGGTAGAACCAGCTCAAAGGAATAACCACAGAAAAGAATACTGGCATACAGGGAACAGTTCAGTAATGGGAAAACTAACACGTAGCAACGATCCCACAATATACAAGTCAAGTAGTTATGAAAATATAACATGACAATAGGAGAGGCAAAACTCTTCAGTTAAGTCAAATAGGAGTCACACTAATCAAAGTATAAGACTCACGGGCATGCTTGACACCAACGTATAGATACTCGTCACCATGCCTATACGTCGTACTCAACAAATAACACATAACAATTATGACACAACTCCTAATCCCTCAAGCTAAGGTTAGACCAAACACTTACCTCGCTTTGAAACCAATTCAAAATTCCAACAAGCCTTTGCCTCGTGAATTTGTCCGAAGCTTCAAATCTTGTCATAATAATTCAATATACTCAATATAAATCGTACGAATTAATTCCATATGAAAATAATATTTTTCCAACAAAAATCCGAAATTTAACTCAAAATCGCCCGTGGGGCCCACATCTCAAATTCCGACAAAACTTACTAAATCCGACAACTCATTCAACCACGAGTCTAACCATACCAATTTTACAAAAATCCGACATCAACTCGACCCTCAAATCTTCAAATTAAACCAAGAGGGTTTTCAAGATTTACCAACTAAAATCAACAATTAAATGTTAAAAACAACGATGGACAAGGTGGGAACATTATGATGCACATGTGGCGAAACAAGGCGGGCACTTATTATGTTATTATTTGCACACGTGGCGAGACAAGGTGGGCTACGTCAGGGATTGATTGTGATGATTTGTGATGGCTTGGGGGCATTCTTGTTGTTTGATATTGTGTTGTGGTATGCTTACCTGTATGAGTTTTATCTCGTGGAAGTTGTGAGAAAACATCTTACGTGTCGTCCGTTCTTTTCCTTATGCTTATTAGCTGGTAGGAAATATGTTAAAGCACTTGCACAAGCATACACGTAGTTGAACACTCCCATTCGATATGAAGTTCTCCTGATATTGCTGAGTATAGATGTACACCCTCGTCTACTTGTCATATATGTGAGAGTAGTTCTAGTTAGTAAGTGAGTTATCAGCGTGACCATGAGTTGTGATGGGGGCATAGGATGCCAAGTGTTAGGGTTCAGGTATTGGGACCTGTGAGTTGTAAGTTGTCCGAGGTTCGGTATTTTGTGGAGTCTGTTGGCTAAGACTTGATGTGAACATTGTCGTAGGTTCTGAGTTATTGCTTACCTTTACTGTATTTGTGATTTAAGTTTTGGGTTTGTGATTTCGCTCGCTCTTCTATGTCATAATTACGGTGTTTCCTTTGTCACTTCCTATTTTTCTTTCATATTGTGATTGTTGTATTATTTACCATATCGTGTAGCCTTTATATATACATCATGTTCCGTTGTTCCTATGCTTTTAGTTGTACAGTTTATTGGACTAGTAGGTGTCTTGACTGTTCCTCGTCGCTACTCCACTGAGGTTAGTCTTGATACTTACTGGGCATCGCTGTGCTGTGCTCATGCTACTCTTCTGCATATTTTTTTGTGCAGACCCAGGTATTATTCGTTTGTAGTTGCGCGGGCCAGTGCTGAGGAGACTCAAGGTAAACCTGCTGCTGCGTTCGCAGGCTTCGGAATCACCTTTTTATTTTATATTCACACTGTTGTACTTATTTCCATACAGTTGTGTTTAGAAGTTTTAGCGAAACTCTGTAGAACTTATGGCTTGTACTACCGGATTTCGGGAACATGTTATTTGTATAAAGATTTCGTTTCAGAAGAATGTTAGATGTTAATTATTGTTATTTGTTTTTCCGAAAAATGTTAGGCTTACCTAGTCCTTAAGACTAGGTGCCATCACGATACCCAAATGGAGGGAATGTTGGGTCGTGACAATAACCCCCAATTATTTATTGTGCTATAAATTGCATCTTAAATTTTGACTTTTCTAATTCATAACCCCCATCTTTCTAATAATGTGCTATATAAATTGCATCTTTCCTTCATATTTTTCCTACTCTTATATTGTTTAGTTTTATGCAGGGTGTGCTTCTTGCACTCCATTCATTTTGCAGAAAGTCTTCTTAGTTTTTGCAACATTCACCATTGTGAGATCTATGAGGAAGCATTTTTTATTGCTCTAATGGTGTTGACAGAACCTTTTCAGAGGCCAAAAAGTAACATGGCCTTGCGGATAAGTAACATGGTTTTGCTGTTGTTCATTATCCATGGTAGTTATTTCCATGATCTTTTGGTTTTTATCCTATTTTCACTCTTTATTTTGTTTTCTCCCTCATTAATTTTCAACTAGTATACGTACCCGCGCGATGCGCGAATCAATTTAATTTAAAGGAAAAAAAAAGCGGAGAGAAATAATAGAAACATATGTATATTGCAGATTAAATTTAGCGATCGAATTCAAAAGAATTAAAACAAAAAATAAATAGATAAATTCCATTGGGGCCAATATTGTGACCCAAGTATGATTTAAGACCAAATGACAATACTATTCTAAGGAATTTCCCCAGTAGCTGTGAAGTTAACTTAGAAGTATGGTGCTCTCCAAGGCCTATAAACAACAAAAACAAAAAAATAAAAAAACAAAAATTAAACATCAAGTTTTGAGTACAATATATAAGGAACGAAGTCACATAGAATAATAGTTCATTATTCACCTTCTTTGTGTTCACTAATAAAAGGAAGCAACTTGACAGATAGATAAAGATTGTAACTTAATTAAGCATCAAGGTTTGAGTACAATATATAAGGAACGAAGTCACATAGAATAATAGTTCATTATTCACCTTCTTTGTGTTCATTAATAAAAGGAAGCAACTTGACAGATAGATAAATATTGTAACTTAATTGATCACAACCTTCTTTGCTTTAATCCTTTTGTTGATATTTATATAGAAAATATATGTTGAACAATTTAAGATATTAAATTTTCTTCTATAAAGTTTTTAAAACGGTAAGTTCTGAAGCAAAAATTCAGTTCAACATAAAGGAAATCAAAACCATGTATTTAACAGTAAACAAAATAAAAAAGATTCAGCAAAGCGTAAAAAAAAAAAAGAACAAAAGTGAAAAACGAAATAATTTTAGAATGAAAACTATATTCTACAACGGATTAAGAAAGAGATTGTGAACTTGAGTACAGATGAGCAGGTAGTAGATCAAAAAATAATATCCCACATTTACCTGAACTCTTTGTTGACAGAGATGAAATTAGAAGTATGTTCAATCTATATATTAGCAAAAAGAAAATTCGATGCAAATAATGCTAACATAGTTGTATAGAACATTGTTATATCACAACACTTGATATTTTTAGTTAAAATAGAAACGCAGCGTTGAACATCAACATCATTGAACACCAACATTTTTCTTTCTTGCACACATATCAACTACCGATCGATTATGCTCAGTTTCATAAAATATTCTTCTCACAAGACGATCATTAATCAATATGTACACCTAAAAGAGCAAAATACCAATCCACGTACAACTATAATGCAAAACATACTATGAAGAACTAACACAAAAAATGTTATAAGAATTGCAATATAACCTATGAAAATATTTATTTTCACTCTCTCCATTACTAAGATATTTCAATATAAATTTGAGTTATTTGAAATTAGGATATAAGCCAAAAAATGTGCGTTCAGTTGAACGCATAAGCAAAACTCTAAGTTAACGTTTGATTAGAATTCTTTCACATACAATGATTCTCGGATCATGTACGTGAAAGAAGAAAATTGCCATATATATAAAGAGCAGAACCAACTAACTCCAAATTCTAAAGTCGCTATTGATGGTAAGTACCACAACTTTGAACCTTATTTCGTTGCAATAAAGCACACATATATTATGGAGAAAGTTAGAGATCTCACCTTTATTTTTGCCTTTTTCATTCTTTTGATCATGTATTTGTTATCATTTGTCAAGTAGAAGAAGCTTTCCCTTTTTTCAGGGGAGATTAGCCATCTGAGAGGGCCACAAATAGACAACATATACTCCGTTGCATCCATCTTATATAACATTCTTGGTGTGCATTCTAGTTCAAAACGCATTGGACATTATGTTAGAGTGTGACCAATAAAAATATTTGTTGTTGTAATGATATAAAGAAGATATATCCTGTTGTATACATATATAACAGATTGTGCAACTTGCTATGTTTATGACCTTATGGATTTGTATAGGTCGTCATAAAGCCATCTTTTGATAAAGGTTGTAAAAAGGGAAGGGTTGCAAAGGTTGAAAGTCTCTTTGGTAATTGGTAGGTATCAAACATAAAATTATAGCATCATCAAAGAGCTTTCACTCTCTTTTATTTTGTTTTGCCAACAGAAGGCAATAATAATGTGGTATATATAAGAATATCGGGGCTGATACCAACTTTGACCATCTTACTAAAAAAGGCAAAGACTTGCCTGTTATCTGCTAGCTTGCAGCTCCGAGATATGAGAATGGTGTAAGTCAATAAATCTGGAGAGATACCATTTTGCAGACCTTTCTTCAGCATCTTATAAGCCTTTGCAACCCTTCCATATGACCATTCCACTTTTAATTAAACATCTCATTGTAAACTGATCATAAACAAAAGTAATAAATGTTATACACTAACGTGATTTTGAGGGAATGTCTAATAACTACGTGGGATATAAGAGTTAAAACTGAATATGTAAAGAGCCGATCAAAAGCTTGAACAATATAAGTTAACACAAAAATTGACAATTTCCAATCACTAATTCAAACAAATCTTAAATATCTGTATAAAAGCTCAAACCTATTCAAATATTTGGCATACCATGACGATTAACCATTTTTTACTTGGCAATTAATGTTACATTTTCGACTCGACAATAATTTAAAATAGTGCAACCACATTGGACAAAGAGTATATCTTAAATGTGAGAATGATACAGGTATTCACTCCATTCGAAAGAAGAGGCCGATTAGTGAGCATTCGATTTTCATAGGGTAGTTTACTTTTCATTGTGGTAGAAAAAGATTTATCCATAAAATATGTGTGACTAAGAAATCTTGCTTATTGATTAAAATATAAATTGTGAGTGTTTTTTTGCATGATATTTCATAAATCAATTACTCAAAAAAAAACATGAATGGAAAACATGTTACGAAATCACCATAAATCCACCATATTTAGTCAAACCATATGATGCACATCAGAATTAAGAGTTTTCCATTTATCATGTGATGTCAATGGCTCAATGCTGGTCATCAGCTAAAATAGATGGGGCTATTCTCTAGTTCAATAGATTAGAGATGGCAGCCGCACGCGGATTAAAAAATATATCGTTAAACATGATAAGTACATAACTTAAAAGGGGAAACAATAAAAAAGTAGTCAAAATTTATGGGAAAGTCTTAATATTCTACCTTAATTATTAGTCTCGGAACTTAGTTCACCTTCATATGTACTTGGTTCAAAATTAGTAGTTGCCTCCCTTCCGTTGCACTTTATAGCAGTCTTATCATAAGGCCTGGGCCAAAAATCAAATCATGTTAATGTTAAAAGCGTAAACAACATAATATAAAAGGGTAGGGGATAGTCAAGTTATCATCATTAGACCTTGCGGCTTACATCTCGCTATCAATCAGTCCACGATAGATATGCCTGCTGCATATATCCAATTACACAATATTCTTTCTTCATTATCCTCTGTTAATAGAGAAGAAGTGTGAATAAAAATGAAGACTCTGACGGAGAGTGAGGTGGTTTCCATTAGTACAATCTGAATCAAAATATAAAATATATTTGAAACAAAATCTTAGCAAGAAAAAGAGGCAGCAATGTCAGTATACTCATTTGCATTGTAATATAGTTTATGTAGAGTTGATAGTGAAGATTTTGAAGGAATGGTGGACTTGCAGTTTTGCTTCTTATATCTGTTTTAATGAGTTTCTATCAAGTGAATCATCTTGAAAATTGTTGAATCTAACAAAGTAATAACTTATTGCAAGGTGAACTTTTTATACGAAGTATTGCACATTGATTGTTTCCTAATTTTTAACTTATGGGGGTTTTGGAGCATATTTTTTTCAAAAAGTTGTAAAAACACCTGGTAAACATAAAGGGATTAAACACCACGTTATTCAGATGAGGGACTTACAATTCCTTCTAGCTAATGATTGAGACAAACTCTAATTATAAAAGTAATACTAAACAATTTTCTATATGTTAAAATTTTATTAGATAATCATTCTAGAACTGAAGAAAAATCAGAAATCACTAAAATTCCCGAGAATGTGCAACTTTCTATGAAGACAACATAAATCAGAATATAATTAATTATAGTATGCACAGATGAAAGGTTTGATTTTATAACTCAATTCTTAGTAGTGTATTTCTAATTTCTTGAACAAATTATACACGACCAACAACAATAACAACAACCCAGTATAATCCAACTTAGTGGGGTCTGGGGAGGGTAGTGTGTACGCAGACCTTATCCCTACCCTGGGGTAGAGAGGCTATTTCCAAATAGACCCTCGACATCCTTCCTTCCAAGAACTTCCCACCTTGCTCTTGGGGAGACTCGAACTCACAAACTCTTGGTTGGAAGTGGAGGTTGCTTACCATCAGAGCAACCCCTCTTGTCAATTTGTTGGTTGCACGACCAAAGAACAGAAAAGAAAGAAGTAAAAAATTTGTTGCTTTTTCTCTATTGTACTTATTTATCTGTCCACAATTCAGGCAAGCGTCAAAATTGCTTGTGAGGATTTTGGGATCCTATACTAAAATTTAAGGATTGTCCATGAATAACAAATCACACCACTCTTTCCTAGTTGCTATGCGCACAAGGGAGAAAAAAAGTAGAAAACTGATTCCAAAAAGCTGTGAAACTATGTTACTGAGAATCCAGCGCAGAAGAGTTGGTGGTAGGAGTTGAAATCGTGGTGCGAGATTGCGGGATGGTTAAAACTGTAAAAAACATAAATACCATAAATTTGAAACCGAGTTTAGAAAAATACCTGTATAAATCTACTGGGAATCTGTCACGACCCGAATTTTTCACCATCGGGGGTCGTGATGGCGCCTACTATCGGAGCTAGGCAAGCCAAGCATTTAAATATTTTTCTGATAACATCCCAACAATAATAATAATACGAGTCATTTAAATAAAAGAGGAAGTCTTTAAAAACATAGATAACTGAAAACCCAAAGATGCGGAAGTTTAACATTTCTCTACCCAAGACTGGTGTCGCTAACTCACGAACTACTAAAGAGTGCTAAAAACAAGTCTGAATAGAAATACATCAATGTTTGTCTCGGTACAAGGAAAACAAACTATAACAAAGAAAGGGACTCCGGCCTGCGAACGCCAGCTAGGCTACCGCGTAAGTCCCTGGACTGAAGTCAGCTCCCGATCAATATCCTACTGCTGTGGTCCAAAAGCTGCGGTCCAAAAGCTGCTCCGGTACCGTGATCTGTGCAAAAGAGCACAGAAGTGTAGCATCAGCACATCCGACCCCATGTGCTGGTAAGTGCCTGGCCTAACCCCGACGAAGTAGTGACGAGGCTAGACAGGATAACCAAACCAACCTGTGCAGATCAATATATATATGCAATAAAAGGAAAGAACAAAGAAATTAAACAGTTAAGAGGGAGGGGAGCATACTATGGGGGGGAAATACAGTCCGGATATAAAGTCAACAATTTAAGTAAGCAATAGGGCAATAACAATAATTAATGAGAGCAGGAAAGTCAACAGTTGCACGGCATCAACCTTCGTGTTTTTACTCTCATCCTCACCAAAAGTAATCAAGTAAAGTGCACGGCATCAACCTTCGTGCTTTCCCTCTCATACTCTCAAATCATGGCACGGAATGACCCTTCGTGCAAATATAATCAAAACATGGCACGGAATGACCTTTCGTGCAATTATAATCAAAACATGGCACGGAATGACCCTTCGTGCAAATATAATCAAAACATGGCACGGAATGACCCTTCGTGCAAATATAATCAAAACATGGCACGGAATGACCCTTCGTGCATTATCACTCTTCCTCACCCAAACAGTAATCACAACCAAACGGGGCGAGGGGATAAACAAATAATAAGAAATGTTCCGGCAAGGGAATTACACAATTAACATCTAAATCCCGGCAAGGGAGCAACAACAATACTTTCACATCCCGGCAAGGGAGATAATCAATATACTCAAACCATCCCGGCAAGGGATTAATCATATCTCTTTCTAATTCTTTCATTTCTTACTCAATAGTCTTTTTATCGTTCGAGCCAACGCTCCAAAGAATTTACAATTCATAATTAGTCCTCATACTCTTCACATTGCATAGAATTCATATTTAACATGGAAGAGTTATAATAATATCAGGATAAGTACATACAAGGACCCACGGTCATGCTAGACACCGGTGTATAGATACTCGTCACCATGCCTATACACCGTACTCAACATTTAGCAATTAGAAAACAACACTCTAATCCTATTCCCTCAAGCCAAAGTTAGATTAAGCACTTACCTCGGTCCAAAGAATAGCAATCAATCCTCAAATATCGCCTTTCCTCTACAATCCGACTCCGAAATAATGATATCTAGGCATAATTAATTCAATAATATCAATAAAGACTCAATGGCAACATCCCATAGCCTAGATATGAATTTCCTAGCATTCTTCCAAAAATACCAAAATTCGACACCGGGCCCACATGGTCCAAACACGAGGCTGGGACCAAAACCCAATCACCCATAACCCCACGAGTTCAAATATGCAATTTGTTTTAAGATTCGACCCCAAAATTGAGGTTGAATCACCCAAAATTCTCAAAACCCTAACTCTACCCAAAACCCCTAATTTCTCCTTTGATTTCATGTTTTAGGCCTAGGAATTCACTAATTAATGAAGAAAAACGAAGGAATTAGGTGGGGAATTACTTACCCAAGTGACCTTGAAGAAGGGAGGCTTCAATGGGGTCCTAAGGCTTGAAGGAGAAGGGAGCTCGTGAGAAAAAGTGAAGAAATCCCGTACGCTACTGTTCTGTTTTAAAAAAAATCACTGAAGGATTTAACCGTAGGCGATCGCGACACAGGGGACGCGTTCGCGATGAAGAGGAACTGGGGGCATCGCGTTCGCGATGGGGAGATGCGAACGCGAAGAAGGAAAACGGGGGGGGGGGGGGTGGGGGTGTCCAGGGGCAGGCCTACGCGAACGCGAGGGGGTTAGGACGCGAACGCGGTGGAGGGGGAAACGACAAAGCACTGCGAACGCGAGCCTGAGGCCGCGTTCGCGAAGAACAAAATACCTGGGAAAAAATTGCAGAAAATCTGCCAACTTTCCTAAGTTCAAAAACATCCCGAACCACCTCCAAATCACTCCCGAGCCCTCGGGGCTCCTAACCAAACACACACACTAACTCAATAACATCCTACGAACTAACTCGAGCGATCAAACCGCCAAAATAACATCAAAATCATTGAATCAAACCCCAAAATCATCATTTTTCATTCTAACTTCATAAACTTCAAACTTTAGATATTTAGGTCCGAAACACGTCAAATGACGTCCGATTTCGACCAAACTTTACAGAAAGCGCTTACACATATTTAAGACTTGTTCCGGGTGTCAGAACCAAAATACGAGCCCGATACCGTAGTCTTTTAATCAATTTTTATTTCCATTTTTCTTAATAATTCCAGAAAAATAATTTCACAGAATAATTCTTTTCCTCGGGTTCTAGACCTCGGATTTCGATTACCGGCATATGCCCGAGTCCCATATTTTTCTACGGACCCTCCGTGACTGTCAAATCACGGGTCCGGGTCCGTTTACCAAAAATGTTGACCGAAGTCAACTTTATTTTAAAGCCACATTTTGAAATTTTTCACAGAATTTAACATATAATCTTTCCGGCTACGTGCCCGGACTGCGCACGCAAATCGAGACAACTAAAGGTGAGGTTTTCAAGGCCTCGGAAGCACGAAAAAGAGAGAAATCCGGTGATGACCATTTGGGTCGTCACAGAATCTGAACTTGGTTCTTCTATATACTATAATCCAAGATGTCTGCTTCCCTACAATAAAAATTAATTGTAGTTCCGATGTACTGACAGAAAAATATAATTTTTCTCGTGAAGATACATTGAACTACAAAGGATGGTCTAAAGTGAAAAGAGAAGTGAAGAGATTTGCCTAAGTCATGTGAATATGCACAGACTATGGACTTTTTAGAATAGTGATGAAACAATATCTTGCAAAAGACAAGGAACATCTCTGCAGAAATATGTACCCAAACTCGGTTTGATTTTGGGATTTTATCGAATCCTTTTACGAAATCCCACCATTGAAGGAATTTTTCCTTCTTGATTTGGGAAGATGAAATCTTTGCCTTATGTATTCTATTGTAAGAGTTTACAGAGAGAGAATTTGAGGATCTTGGGGAGGTTACAAATAGCACGGTTTGTTCAATGAAGAAAAAGGGATTTTGGTAATTGTATTTGTCCTTAATTATAGTTATTCTACACGTTTAATACCACCTAAAGGAGTAGTTACTTTTTTAAAATCAAATTTTAAATAAAGTAACTAATTATTACCTATATCAACTAATTTTGTCCTAAGAATGACACATGTCAATTTCTCCACATGACACTTGGCAAATTATCATGGCAACTTCTCTCTTTTTAATAATAGATAGATCTTCAACAAATTTTTTGTGAATTTTTTTGTACATGCTTTAAGATGCCTCTCTGTGACGGACATAATCCATTATAGTTGGTTAGAGCAAGAGGGATCGTTTGGTATGGATAAACAAAAATAATTCTCGAATAAAAATGTAGTATTGTTTTGTCCGTTCTATGGTTACTAATTCTGGGATAAGTTATTTCAGGATTAAAAATTGTACCTAAATAACTTATACCTGCCAGAGGATGGAATAGTAATCCCAGGATAAAGCAGTAAAATTGACAATCTCGGGATTGATAACCAAATAGTCAATAAAAATAATTCCGGCATACCTAATTTCAGCTTATCCTAGGATTAAAAATAGTATTTGAATAACTTATACCTGCCAAATGGTGGAATAGTATCCCAGGATAAAGCAGTAAAATTGACAATCTCAGGATTAATGCAACATACCACATAGTCAATAACAAATAATTTTAG